TGCACAAAGCCAATAGCCAGATGTATCTCTGTAAAGCCCAGAGTAATCTAAAAGACCAGTGCTTGATTTGCCCAGTTTATACAGGTAGTGAAGGCTACAGGTGGGAGGTAGACATGACTACTGTTTCTGCTTTTTAAGGGCCCCGTAGTCTTACATGTGGTGTACACACTGAGGGCTGAACCACATGATGTATGACTATGCTTTCAGAAGAGTTACTTCATCAAATGGTGAAAGATATTTCTTTATTACCCTGTTTCCCCGAAAATAAGACAGGATCGTATATTAATTTTTGCTCCAAAAAAACACATTAAGGCTTATTTTCAGGGGATGTTTTATTTTTGTCATGTACAACAATTTACATTTATTCAAATGCAGTCATCATCTTCTGGTTGCTGCACAATGGTGGAGGGTGGGGTTTCACTTAACTAGGGTTTATTTTTGGGGTAGGGCTTATACTACAAGCATCTTAAAAAATCATACTAGGGCTTATTTTCAGGTTAGGTCTTATTTTAGGAGAAACAGGGTATATCATCTAATTGTCCACACCAATATATCTTTCATTTGTTTTGTGACTGGTCAGAGGAAAGTAAACACAGGCTTTGGTGTGACTACCCAGCAAAAGAAATATGAACTCAATTGCTGTGAAGTCACACCAGGGAACTATTCAAATATCTGTTCACATTAATTGTCCATAAAGAGAGGGGTGGAAGTTGGCTAAACAGCCTTGTTGGCAGCTTGTTAATGCAACTCTCCTGTAGCCCTGTAGGAAGTACAGATACAGAAGAACTATTTAATAAGATGTAAACAAGGGCAAAGTGGAAATTTCCTCATCTTGTTTCCTTCTTTCACTCTCTTTCTCTTTTTTCCCGGCACCAAGCTGCCTGGAGGGGAACAGTGGAGAGAGGAAGATCAGTTTTATGTACTGGTTCAAACAATCACAATACAGTGGTGCCTTGCTTAACGAGTGCCTCGCTGAGCGATGAAAAAACTTAACGAGGCGCTCTGGGCCATCGCTGTGGAAATTTCCTCATCTTGTTTCCTTCTTTCACTCTCTTTCTCTTTTTTCCCGGCACCAAGCTGCCTGGAGGGGAACAGTGGAGAGAGGAAGATCAGTTTTATGTACTGGTTCAAACAATCACAATACAGTGGTGCCTTGCTTAACGAGTGCCTCGCTGAGCGATGAAAAAACTTAACGAGGCGCTCTGGGCCATCGCTGGAGCATTCGATTCGCTTCTGTACTGGTTCAAGCAATCACAATACTTGAACTGATGCAAATTGATCTGATGGTAAAAAAAAGTAGATGCCTCAGCAGCAGAGGTGAAAAACTATAGGGGACGGAGAAAAGGACTTTGGGTAGGTTCACACTGGCTTTACATCATGTGGACAAGAGAAAAAAAAGTGAATCAGTTCAACCAATCCTGTAAGGCTTTTTGCATTTTTGGCCAACGTGGTCATACCCTTAATTTGCATGTCTGAGTCCTAAGGAATACATCTCTAAAGATATCCTGATGTGGGAAGGAAAATGGGTTTATTACAGCGAGCCCATATTCCCCTTAACATCTAGTTTAAAATAGAGTACGGTACTTGCATTACCTAGAGGGAAGACAAGCTATTCTCACTTTATGCCTGACTCATCAGGAGATCATATCTGCACAAGGGAGAGTGGGAAATGTTATGTTGTACTGGCACTACAGTACTAGTGCAATGTTAGCTTTCAGCACTTACTAGCCTTGAAACCCAATTATGCTGGGAAACCAGTTCACAACACTATATACAGTGGTGCCTCGCTTAACGGGCGCCCCGTTTAATGACGAAATCGCATAGCGATAAAGATTTTGCGATCGCTTTTGCGATCGCATTGCAATGTTTTAAATGGGGAAAAATTGTTTTGCGATGATCGGTACCCTGTTTCGCTTACCAATCATCGCAAAGCGATGATTTTTAAACAGTTGATCGGCGGTTCCAAAATGGCCACCGGGTACAAAAAATGGCAGCCCATTGTGTTTAGGGACGGATTCCTCAATTACTGGGCAGCGAAAATGGCCGCTGTATGGAGGATCTTCGCTTAAAGGTCAGTTTCCAGCCCATAGGAACGCGCTGAAGGGGTTTCAATGCACTCCTATGGGCTTTTTAAAATCGCATAGCGACGAAATCGCTTTGCAGCGAATTTTGCTGTACCGATTAACGTTGCTATGCAAGGCATCACTGTATAATTATTCAAGATTCTTCTACCCAGTCATTGTATAATTATTCAAGATTCTTCTACCCAGCATCTGGCAGTTAGAAATATAAATATCTGCAAGTCACTTTTGTATTAGGCAACTTAAAGGTGGAAGACAATTGTAATTATGTGCCCTGTTTTAGCAGGCTTTCCCTTCCAATTTACATATATCACTCATATGCAAAAAAGCAACTACTCAAATTGTGATCAAGCTAAATTATAGCAGAAATACTGAGAGCAGAAATCCTCCGGAAAACACGAAATCATTTAGAAACATTTGAAAATCAAAACCAGTAGAGAAAACATATTGAGTATGTTTCTGCATAAAGAAGGCTGAATGTAGAATAGCAAACTGAAAAGCCAATTAAGAAAGGGACAGGAATAGTACAAAAAGAATTAAGAAATCTTATGTCAACAATGAGTGCTTCTAATCATGCGCTATGGCAACTCTTGAAAACTTAGGCTTGGAAAAACAAGCATCTGCAGTGATCACTGACAAGCTTCATTAGGTTCAATTCCCTAACTATTCTAAAAACAATGTCTTCCCTTGAGGAACCTAAAATGAAGAATTACTAACTCATACAGAGTAGCACAGAACATACAACACATTTGTATTTTGTATCATACGTAATGCAAGATGCTTTGAGGATTTATTTTGCTGCAAAGCAACTAACAAAAAAAGAGAGGCAAAATAACAAAACGTATTGTCTATACTATTTAATAGTTGCTCACAAGCAGCCTGTTCTGTTTAGCAATAGCTAAGAATGACACAAGAGTAGGAGGGTGTATAAACAAAAGAGAGGCCAGAAGTCACAGAACAAAATTGGAAATCCAACTGTATATCCTATGCCACAAGGAATTTCTTTTCCACATATTGGTTCTGAAACAGTTGGTCTAATATCCCACTAATACAAAAAAGGCAATTGTTATAAGTAAATGATAGCTGTAAAATATTTCAAGCTCTCTTTTCTTATGTTTTAGCCTTTGATATATTAATGTTGAGTTTTTATAACATACTGAATTTAGAAAATAGTCCATCTAGCAAAGCTGAAAACAGTCCCATGAAACTGTATTGTTGTATGCACCATCAAGTAATTTTGGATTTAACAGTGACTCTACAAATTAATAGGCTCCAAAAAGTTCTATCACTGATAGTTCTCTTTAGGTCATAAAGGCTGTGTTTTCCTTTATTGAGTCAATCCATCTCATGTTAAGTCTTCCTCTTTTTCTACTAGTTTCACTTTCCTACCATACTGTCTTTTTTCAGAATCTTGCCTTCTCGTGGTACATCCAAAGTATGATAGAGTCAGTTTTTTAGGTTCTTGTGAGATACTGTATTTGTTCCCTAGAAAATGTTGTCTTTTCAGTTACACTCCTGCCTGCCATCATGCCCCTTCCCTCTTTTGCTTTTGATCTAAATTATCTTCAAGCATTCCATTTTGGTTCTCTCCTCCTGCTGACCTTTTTAGCATTTCTAGAGTGCATCTGCCACCTTCACTGTTCACCCATATCCATGAAATAGACTGATTAGAAAATCCTAAATTTCTATTTTCTTCTGATCAGCTGACACGAAGTCTCATCAGATAACATGCGTTGTGTTGCACCTTTCTTAGTCCTAATCTGCCTCTTTAGTCAAATAAGAATCCTCTAATGCTGCACTCTAACACAAGGCACTGATTGTCAACAACCCCTTTTATAAATTTAGTTTTTTTCAATGTGCATTGGCTTCTGGCCTAAACAGAGGAACCTCAAGACTCTATAAGCTAGAAACATTTGAGAAAAAACTATCAAAGACACATACTTAGAGGTTATAGCAAATTACAACTTCTCTGAATGCTCACATTACTAACAAAGCATTCAATAAATGAGGTTATTTAATGGATTTCTTAAAATGTATGTGTGAACTGGAAAGCAAGAGTTGTTACAGTTCCGAGTAGAAATATAGTAAAGCAGAAATAATGTATACCCCAAAGGGCAATTTATCCTACAGAAACTATCTCAGTATCCTCCTCCTCCTGGAGAAAGGCGTGCTGCCCAAATAGTTTGAAAACACCAAAATATTGGAAGAAAAGAAGCATTACAAGCTATGATGGAAGGAAAGGTATTTGAAGTTTATTCATCTACATCATATTGGCTGTCCTTATTCTCCATTCTCCTGGCTGTAAGCAACATTATTCTTCAAAGTGTAAATGTTAAAATTAGCTTTCTGATTGTGTGATAGTACAGGGAGCAGATGATTTCGTCACACTAGAGAGCATAAAGAATTTGGCACTGTTTTAATATAGCAGTTGCCGCTAGCTCATCAAAACTAAATTTTCAGTTTCATTAGATGCTATTAGCTTTCAAACTGTGAGACATACAAAAAATATGGCTATTAATTGACCTCTTTCTGCCCGGTACACACACTAAATCTCATTAATTGGGGACTTTTTAAAGTGTTAAAATGTAACTGACTTCTTTGAATAAGTAAACGGTACATTTCAACTCAAAACCAAATTCACAGCATAACTGAGATGGAAGACAATGCAATTACAGGTCACTTTTAGAACAACGATCACTGGACATAGGATACTCCACCTTCCTTATAAAGCTCATTATTACAAGGCTAAGGTCAAACTTAAAATATGCAAGGCTAAGGTCAAACTGAAACTTTCAAAATATGCAAGGTCATGTTCCCAACAACAGTTACATGATTACTGTAATACTAAACATTACCTAACCCTTCTTGCTAGTCTGATTCACAAAAGTGGAAGACACTGCCCAAGTTCATTCCACTTACCTGCTATAGGGATCCCTCCTAGACCTGTGTTGTGTTGTGGTGGGAGGTTCAAGTCCAAGAAATTACTATTTGAATGGGGGTTTGCTGTGTGGTTCAAGTGCATGATGTTATTGCGTGGGAACGCCATCCAAGGATAACGAGCTGCTTGGCCAGGAAAACTGAAGGAGTTGTAAACTGCTCGATGCTGTTGAAACTGTGGGAATCTCTGTGGCAAGACTGAAAATGTGCTATTAAGAGAATTGGCATTTGCAGGTGCAACAGGATGCAGAAATCCAGAGCCTGACCCTTTGGTGGCTGTAGTGTGTGGGGAAGGGTTCTGGAGAGACGTGGGTGAGAGGGAAGGCTGGTCTTGGACCGACAGTTCCTTTTCAATCAAGTCTGCTAAGGCTTTGCGGGTGATATCAAAGGGATCAAACCCCAAGTCATCTTCTTGCTGTTTGGAAGAACCAAATCCAAACGCCGCTTGCCAGTCTGTAGAGGAGGATACTGGGATGGTTTCTAAGGGACAAAAACATGAATGTGCAATACTTAATATATGAATTTTGACCCGGATTTAAAAAACAAAAACCTAGCTTAACTGTGTCAATGAATTAACCCATTACTTTGAATTTCTTATCATGAGTCTCAGACCATTCATTTTTATATTTGTGCTCACAGCCAAAACTTCTATAATCCTCCAAACCTGTTTCTCTCACATTATGGCAAGGGCATATATGCCAAAGGTATACTAATCATCCTAGTAGCATACTTGTTAACAGGTTGGATAAAAATCAATTATTTTTAAAAATCAAATTGATTTAGATTATTATTTAAATCACAATTGAAGGGAAAAAATGATGTTTTTATTTAAATAATCAAAAATCTATTTTTTAAAATTTAAATTGTGATTCAAATCATTATTTAAATTTATATGATTTAAATCAAATCCACTTTGATTGTATATAATACAAATACTAAACTTAGACACTATGAACAGTAAATTATTTTATTCATCATTAGTAGTCAAGGTACGTCGACAGGTAAAGGTTCCTCTTGACATTTAGTCCAGTCGTGTCCGACTCTAGGGCACAGTGCTCATCCCCGTTTCCAAGCTATAGAGCCAGCGTTTGTCCAAAGACAGTTTCCATGGTCATGTGGCCAGTGCAACTAGACATGGAATGCCATTACCTTCTCACCATGGTGGTACCTATTTATCTACTCACATATTTACATGCTTTAAAACTGCTACGTTAGCAGGAGCTGGGACAAGCAACGGGAGCTCACTCTGTCGTGTGGATTCAATCTTATCACTGCTGGTCTTCCAACCTTGCAGCACAGAGGCTTCTGCGGTTTAACCCAAAGAGCCACCATGTCCCCACATGCAGACAAGCTATAATCAATACATTTATTATAAATTATAATTGTAGCTAGTAGAAAACTTTTATAAGGCTGTTCAAAGGAAGCCATGTGAAATCTAAGTGCTTTAAGTTCTAAAAATGTTAAATTCAGCTGCAAAACTTTAAAAATGCATTAACATTCTACATATTCAATAACAGTTTGTCTCTGGTTGGATCTTAAGAACTGCAAATGAAAGGAAGCATAAAGAAAAAAAATTTCATAAAATTTCATATCTGGAAATAGGTTGCTACAGCAGAAAATTGTCCCAAGCCACTGGGCACATCACCATTGGAAGGAGGAAGTGAGTGTTGTAATAGAGTTCTGACTTGGAGTGAGAAGCCTGCAGCTATTCTTAAAAGAAAAATGGCTACAGAAGCTGAACTATTAGCAGAAATTAAAAAATTAAAAAGGGAATAATGTATTGGAAAGTAAAGTAGAAATTTAGAAAATAATGCAGTAATAACTAGAAGCCAACATGGCTTTATTAAAAACAAATCCTGCCATGCTCATTTTATCTTTTTTTTTAATTAGGTAACCTTGCTGGCAGTAACCTGGATGACTGAGAATCTTCACATATATGTTGCTGGCAGAGGGTGGGAATGCTGTAGATCTACTATATATCCTGACTTAAGCAAAGGTTTTGTCAAAAGTGTCCGATGATAACAAGCTAAGTGTGGGCTGAACAGAATAACTGCCAGGTGGATACACAATTGTTTACAGAATTGTACTCAGAAATCAATGGCTCCTTTTCAAACTGAGAGTAGTAGTTAACAAGAGGTGTTACCACAAGGCTCCATCCTAGCCCTGGTGCTCCTCAATATTATTATTAATGACTTGGATGAAGGGGTACAGAGAATGCTTAAGTTTAGAAATGACACAAAATTGGTTAGGATCACTAATACATTAGAAGGCAGGAACAAAATATAGAAAGATCTTGATAGGCTATAGTAATGGGCTAAAAGCAACATAATGAAATTTAATGCAAAGTTCTACACCTGGGGGGGGGAACCAAACACATATTTACAATATGGGGGATACCTGGCGCAGTAATACTAGAAATGAGAAGGATCTTTGAATTGTTGTAGATCACAAACTGAATGTGAGTCAACAGTGCAATGCGGCTTTAAAAAAAGGGAAATGCTATTTTAGGCTGCATTAACAAAAGTATAACCTCCAAATCCCATGAGGTACTAGTTCCTCTCTATTTGGCACTGGTTAGGTCTTATCCTGAGTACTCTACTCCAGGGGTTGTCAACCCCTGGTCCGCTGCCCAGTGCCAGTCCATGGGCTTGCTGGAACTGGGCCGTGGATATGGATCTCCACCCCCACATGCATGCACGAAAGGCATGTCATGCTTGGACACGTGTGTGTGTGTGTCACGCCCATGGGGGGTGTCGCACCTGTGGGGGACCTGTTCCCCCCGCGCATGGAGCTCACTCCCCCCAGCCGGTCCGTGGCCCCAAAAAGTTTGTGGACCGCTGCTCTACTCTATCCAGTTCCAGACACTACACTTTAAGAAGAATGCTGACAAACTGGAACAAGTTCAGAGGAGGGCAACAAGAATCAGGAGACTGGAAACCAAGCCCTATGACAGAAGACTGATACAAGTGGGAACGTTTAACTTTGAGGAAAGAAAACTGAGGGGAGATATGATAGCACTTTTTAAATACTTCAAAGTTAGTCATATAGAGGAGGGGCAGGATTTGTTCTTTATTATCCCAGAGTGTAGGACAGTAATAATGGGCTCAAGTTGCAGGAAGCCAGATTTCAGTTGAATATCAAGAAAAACATCCTAACTGTTACAGCAGTACGACTGTGGATCCAATTACCTCGGGAAGTGGTGAGCATTCCAATGCTGGAGGCATTTAAGAGAAAATTAGACAACTATCTGTCAAATATATTTTGATTCAGATTTCTGCACTGAGCAGTGGGTTGGACTTGATGGCCTTATAGGCCTCTTCCAACTCCATTATTCTATGATTCTATGATTTTACATTCAAACTCAAGATAGATCATTCTATTCCAAATAATCATGACTCCACAAGAGTTTAATTTATTTTGAACACACACTTTACAATGGCCCTGGTCAAAACAAAACAATAAACCAGGCTGAGTATAAATTATGGTATCACATTTAACTAAACTAAAGGTAAAAGGAGGTTGGACTTGATGGCCTTGTATGCCCCTTCCAACTTCACTTTTCTATGTTGTGCAAGACTTTTCTAATTACTGTTAGGCTCTATATACCTGATGTGAAGAGGCTCTGTGGCTCTGGTGCCATGGGCCAGTCATTTGAAGTCTGCGGGGAGCTGGGAAATGGGGGTAGTCCACTTGGAATTGGGTTCGGGTGCCGGAAGTTGTCCGAGAAGAGAGATTGAGATTCTGTTACAGCTCCTTCAAAGGGAGATCGTGCACTGTGATTGGATGAACTGATGGGGATGACTGAATTGGATTTTGATAAGCCCGGTGGTGGCGAAGGTGTCTCACTATTGGATATCTAAAAGGAAAAGGGCAAAACAAAATAAGACATATTGTTTTTCTAACATGAATCATTCACATATTTCAAAGGATTTATGCAACACAGCTTTATAAATAAATTTAACACAAAGTTTTATTTTCTTCTCACAATCACTTTGCACTTATGAAAAAAACAAAGAAAAACAGAACAAATACTTTTATTAAAGTAAGTCTAAAGCAATTCTGAATCCAGCAGATGGCAGGAAAGTACACTTCAGTTTGTGACCCAGCAACAATTTCATTACATAGAGTCACATGTTACTATTGCTGCAAACACAAAAGTTATATAGCTGACAAAGTTAAGTATTAATTCTCAAAATCTTACCTGTTGTGAATTATCACAGTTTCCTATACTGAGAGAATCTGAAGGTTTGTCGACAGGGCTAGAGAAAAACAAAAAAAAACTTAGGCAAATGAAGGGACATTAAAGAATAAATTTCATGGCCTATACTCCATGAACAGCTAAAAAAAAAATTATTTTCTCCAAATATCTTAATTATTAATAAAATCAAGTTGGATTTGAAGCAGCTACTCTTAACAAAATACAATATTACCTATCCCCACACCTCTTATAATCAAAGCTTTACAGTGGACCCTTGACTTACGAAGGTCTCTACTTACAGAAATTTCGAGATACGAAAAGCTCCGTACGCAAAATTTTAGTTCGACTTGCTGCCGGAGCTTCGACCTACGAAAGGCAGGGGGAAAGGGCGGGAAATTCAAAGCACCCCCTCCTGCCCTCTTGACTCCTGGCCCCGGTGCCCTCTACCTCCTGTGGACAGGAGGCAGAGGGCACCGGGGACAGGAGACAAGAGGACAGCGGGGGGCTGCTTTGAATTTGCCACCCTTTCCCCCTTTCTGCGCAGGGACAGGAGACAAGAGGGCAGTGGGGGGCTGCTTTGAATTTCCCACCCTTTCCCCCTTTCTGCGCTCGCTGCCAGCTTTGCAAGCCGAAAGCCGCTCCGTGCCCACTGCTGGCTTTCGGGACTTAGAAAGCTGCACCTGCTGCCCTCTTGTCTCCTGGCCTCAGTGCCCTCTGCCTGAGGCAGACGGCACTGGGGACAGGAGACAAGAGAGCAGCGGGTGCAGCTTTCTAAGCCCTGAAAGCTGGCAGCAAACGCAGAGCGGCTTTTGGCTTCCCAGGCTTCCAAAGCTGCCCCCGCTGCCCAGTCTCCTGTCCCCAGTGTCCTATGCCTCCTGTCCCCACAGGGATGGGAGGCAGAGGGCAGCAGGGACAGAAGGCAGCGGATACAGCTTTGGAAGCCTGGGATTTTTTTTCTTTGGCTCAAACAGATTAAATGGTTTTCAATGCATTCCTATGGGAAATGGACGCTCGACCTATGGAATTTTTGATCTGCGGCCACCGTTCCAATACGGATTAATTTCGTAAGTCAAGGGTCCACTGTATTTATTATTTCAAGCAAGAATTTTGCAGACTAACTGAAAAAATAAAACCAACCACAACCCAAACACAGTGCTGAAATCTTCTTGCTTAGCTTAGTGCACTGCACCAGAACAGTGGTTCTCAAACTGGGGTCCCCAATATGTTTTGAACTGCAATTCCCATAAGCCTTTACCACTTGCTGTGCTGGCCAGGATTTTTGCGAGATGCAGTCTAAGAACATCCGGGGACCCAAGTTTGAGAACCATTGCACTCGAGTACACCCACAGAATCAGTGGGCATTTGGTGAGTTAACTCCTACACAAGTTCCATTAATTTAAATGGGTCTAACTTTATTATGACTTACTATGCTAATGTAAGCCACAACTAGAATGGGGCCATCTGAATAAACATAATTTACAGAGTAATTGACTCACCAAATGTCACTGATTCAACTGACCTACTTTAGTGTGACTTGCTATGCTAAGCAATAGGATTCCAGCACTGATGTTGGAGAAGAAGCAGGGAGAAGAAGTTAAAAGAGAAAAGGATCAAACCTTGTATAATTTACTGTATCAGAAAGGTTTAACTTTTCCCCTTGAATTTCTGACAAGGGTTATTCTGACTACTTATCAATTTGTACACATCTCCAACAGGAAACTGGACTACATTCAGATGGAGGAGGAGTAAAAACTAGCAGAAAGAAACAAATAATTTAAGATATGCAGATGGCACCTTATTACTGGCAGAAAGCAGTAACAACTTGGAAAAACTGATGAAGGTAAAAGAGGAATGTGCAAAAGCAGAATTGCAGCTGAACATTAAGAAGACAAAAACACAACTATAGGAGAATTAAGTAACTTCAATGTTGACAATGAAGAAACAAATTATTAGAGGATTCTGTAAATCTTGGTTGAATCATCGGTCAAACAGGAGATTGAGGAGCACTGTCAAGGAACTAGAAATGATCCTCAACTATAAGGGTGTAGCACTGGAGACCAAAATCAAGATTATCCATACTAAGGTATTTACTATTAGTATGTACAGATATAAAAGCTGGACAGTGGAAAAGCAAACATGAAAAAATAGATGTTTGGAATACCATGCTGGAGGAGACCTTTATGGAAACAATGCACTGAGGAAAGACAAACAAATGGCTAATAGATCAAATTAAGAGTGAACTTTCTCTAGAAGCAAAAAATGACAAACCTAGGCTGTCGTACTTTGGACACGTCATGAGAAGGCAAGGCTCACTAGAAAAATGCAATAATGCTGGGAAAAGCTGAAGATAACAGGAAAAGAAGACCAAATATGAGATGGATTGACTCAATAAAGAAAGCAACATTACATGGGAAGGGCTATTAATGATAGGACCTTCTGCATTACATGATAAGGGCTATTAATGATAGGACCTTTTTGAGATCACTCATTCATAGGGCTGTCATAAGTCAGAAGTGACCTGACAGCACATAACAAATTTTGTGTCTAGCCAGTGGATGTAATAGACATATCTCTGAGACTTCAATATAAAAAGAAATAAAATTGAAGCTCAAGCATCTATTCACCTTTCAGATAAAATCAGGACAATACTGTAACAGAAAGAACTCAAGAAGAACAAGAGCTGGGATAAACCAAAAATCACAAAAATTGAGGGGAAATGTGTTGGCAAAAATGACAATAGTAGAACAAAGAAAGATATTTTGAACTGTCAACAGCTAATAGGTGAAAAGAGATCAGGAAGAGCACATATACCAGAATATGTAGTTCAGTGCAAATTCATGAATATCTGCATAGAACTCTACTTTTAACTTTAATTTACCATTTGACACACTCAGGAAAGTCAAGATGCCAACAGCTGAATTGAGCAATACGGCCACTGAACTGAAGAATGATCTACTGTCACCACTGTGTTGACAAGCTAAGTAGTAGATGACAGAATATCCAGTAATTAAAAAAATGTGACTTTTCTGAAACACACACTACTGACTCTCTGACCTGACGACTGACTGCACCACACTATTTGGTGGTATATAAGTTTAATAAACGAATGAATAAATCTCAAATGCAGGTAAGCTGTATTCTGGTGACAGGTTTCCACAGGTGATACTAATATTCCTGTCTCGAAACAAAGTGAGTCTTATTATTTGTCCAATTTTTTATTTCAATGGGGAAAAGAGACTTGTATTCTAAGATCTATTTGGAACCTACCTAAGTTAACCACGGTAGAAGTGCTTGAATTTATGAATGATTATCGAAGAGAAACGTTAATAACATTAACAAATGCTGTAAGGTCTTTTAACTATAATCTGTAGTATGCCAGTAGAAAAATACTGTAGTTTATCAAACCTGCTTTAGGCAAGAATATCTGTCTCCATATTTCAGAACACAAATAGGAGAACAGACTTAAACAAATTTTTTAAAAAGCATATTCCACCAAACATAATGTGAAATGTCTACTTTTGAACAGCAATTGAGGGAACAGAAAGCTCAAGAGAGATACAAATTTCTTCAGAATAACACGTGAAATTTAACTAAGATAGTTTAAATGATAACCTTTTCTTTAGACAAAAGAATGGAATTAAGCCTACAAACACAAATTAGAAAATGTTCCAGATAAACATGAAATCAACAATACTATGAAATATCAATGGAAAGAATAGAACAATGCAGATTTTCAGCAGATTCTGTTTAGTCACTATTGTTTATGTGTTTACTACTGGTAGATATTAATACACTGGTGGATATTATCAGGACTGCTTTTTTATTCAGAGGGTGTGTGGAAAAGAGAAATAGATCAACATCTGTAACTAAGCTAATACTTTGTGTTCAACAACAAAGACACAGAAGCAAATCATCATATAAAGAGCAGAAACAAGTAGCATGTCAAATTCACCACTTGAACACAAAAGTCCAACAGAAACTACAAACTGAGAAATATAAAACTACGCTTCTATCAACAGACAATTTCATACTCATCACTTGGACCAAAATTAATCAGCCAGCCAAATGAATTCTGCTAACTAGAATGCAATCAGACATATTGACAGAGACTTCAATATTTTCAACCATTACTTGGTGTCCTGGATTTGACCCAAAGTAAGTGAGTCTTGGACTGTTTCAGAGTCCTCTCCCTACAAGCTGTCAGATATGTGATTTTGCGTAAATCCAGAGTTTTGCAAAGGCAATTTATAGATTAAATAGGGTAAACTTGAGATAAAAAGGCAGTCAGGAAACAAATGTATATCTAAATCTATTCACCTAGGCTTCACCCTATTATTCCATTAGCATAAATTTTCTATTTCATTACAGAATGTTAAGATCCACAGACATTTTTCCATTTCCTTCAGACTGATTGCTATCAGTTCTTGATTACTGAAAATAATTGATAAGAGCAATCTGTCTATAGAAAAATGAATTTTACCTATTTCAAAATAAAAGGCATTCCTTAATTAATAGTTTAAGAGTTCTTGTGGAATATATGTAATAGTTAAGGATTTTTTCCAATCACATCCATTTTGTTTCTTTACTTTTCCTAACTTTTTAAACAAACCTAATCAAATCACTACTATGATTATCTGACTACCTGTTTTGATGTTAATTTTTTACAAAAGAGAGTTGGATCCAAAACAAGTGAAAAGTTAGGTAAATTATGTGTTGATTTTGTCCTAGTCCCTGAGTATAAGAAGTACTTCCTTTGTCTTCCACAGAAAACTGCAAAATGTGAGATTTAATCTAGTGAAACTCCCAAAGCTATAACCATCCGTCCCAAACTCTTTCTGCAATAACACCTAATTTTAAGTGGGTGAACATTATTCTGTTCAAAAGTCAGATTGATACTCAGTTCCATGTTAAAAGCAGACAGGACAGACTAGGTACAGACATCCATATCCTCATCTTGATCTACTTACAAGCACAGAAAATCACAAATATGCATTCTAAAAGGAAATACTAAATATGCTTGTTTAGAGTAAAATTAAAGGGGAAAGGTCAAATAAAATGACTACCACTTTCTATCTGTATCCTGTGTTTTACAGATTTCAACAGAACTCCAGGGCTCTGTAATGAATATAAAGAGAGAAGGATGCGCCACCAACTTGCCACGTTATTATACACCTGAAAGTTGTCAAAATTGTAAGTTTGTATGATGTTGTCTCAAAGTGAATCAAAGGTGAATCAGTGTCAACTTAACAAGTACCTTCATTCGACTAGTTTACATGAGACTAACATCTGGATTAAGTCTTCTGTATAAAGAAGCACATGGAACAAAACTTGCTCAATAGTATTCTTTTCGCACTTCAATAAAACATTGAGTAACTGTTCAAATATTTTATTAGAATTCTTTATTCTTTCAGTGCTGTAAATCAGAAAAACACACGACTCCCTTGAATTGCACGGATCTGGGCAGCACGGTTTTGGTTATACACAGAGATTTTAATCAATCAAACAATCCTCAATAAATATAGTGCTCCTATTCATCTCCAGGAAGCAGCCTGAGAAAAGAGGGTTTTAACTAAGGCTGTGTTGTAAGCAGTGGAGTGTCCCCCCGTCTTGTCATGGAGACTCCACATGGCAGCTGGGGAAGTTGCCTGGGCATGCCAGGAAGGTGATGTAGGTTGAGGGAGAGAGAGAGATAATCAACTGATTATGCTTTGTAGTTACATTTTTGGGAGCATACGAGTTATACACAGATTTTGAACTACACAGGGGTCCAGCATCCTAACCTCAGCAATGTTGAGAACATCAGTGTGGTTGTTGCACATCATAGTTGCTCTAGTGTTCAAACTCTTTTGTCAATAAGTAGGGGCTCAACTCTGATAGGACAGTGGAAAAATGTCTCAAAATCTAGATTAGACTTATCATCCAGGTAGAGGAAACACCAGGTGTGTTTTCAAGAGTAACATTTTTGGGTTCACCCATAAATAAAAGTAGCCATAGGCAAGACTGGTTTCCAAAGATGTCCATGTGAATGAGGAAAGTGATTCCAGGTTATCAATTTGTCTTTCCAACTGTATGTCTTTTTTATCATGTTGACCATGCTTAGAAAAAATTCTAATATTCAGGAGCAACTGGTCAATGTTGGGAACAGGATGAGATTGCAGTGGCAGCTATATTGTGTGTGTGGACCTTTAGATCTTAGGTAGTTTAAGACTATTTTCCAAGTACTTTTCACACACCTATAACAAAAGCCTACCAGATGTTTACCTGTATGAAGCCTCTTTAGTGCTTCAAAAATATAAAACTCAACTACAAAAGAAAACCTGAAGCAAATCATTTGCTTCTGAGCATGAATGCATCCAAGTATATGTAAAACATCACAAGGTATTTTGTCAAATGAACAAAGATTCTACAAGCAGAACTGTACTTCCAGAAAGTGTTAAAACTTGTGTCATCCAGATATGGAACAAGAGAAGCATTTGTTCAGTATAAAAGAAAGAACAGAAGGTATCAGTTGCATCCTCTACTTATTACTAAGTTTCTTGGTTCAGTTACAGAGGTGGCAGAGGAGCAAGGTCTGCCCCCTCAGCACACAAGTAATATCCAAGGACAATAGGAAACAGTTAAGAAATGGATACAGTTTATGTTGTGGATCCAACATATAAAAAGCCTTGCAAGTATGTAAGAGAGTCCCTACAGTATTTAAAAAAAAGTTTTAGGCAAGGTGAATGTTGGTGTAGCTCATCACAGTGTAAAATTTGCTAATATCAACATATTGTGGGTGAAGAGCAGAGAGTATTCACGTTTGCCAATTTAGTTCAAAGCACTTACAACCAGTCAACTAAAGGCCTCCTAGAAGATAAGACTTCCTACTATATAGCATTATTTCTTGAAGAAATAACCCCAAGTTATTTGTTGAAGGGAAGTACATACTAAGCTAGATCACTAACTCAGAAGGCAACTATTAATTTAAAAAAAGTCTTGCCCTGTTCAAATCCTTTACCTTTAATCATCACCTGATAGTCTAGACACAGACTTTTGTACAAACTGCCCACTGTGGAACAATAGGCAGTTTCACCACACATAGCAGGTTTAGGCATCATGCAGTGATTCAGGCCAACTGTTTGTATTTGAAATTTTATTAGAATTTGAATCTAGCTCTCCATATAGAGGCCAGGGAATCATCCCTCCACATCAGTGAGAGAGAAAGAAAGCTAGCTAAAATATAAAAGGCAGCACAATTACCCGAAATCTGAATCTGGACCATCTGGAGTCATGTGTTCTGGGTCTGTGCCATTTTCTAAAATAGGAGGCGTTTTCCTGTGTTCCATTGTTAAGCCGTTGACTGATTTACTTGAACTCTGTAATGATGGCCAGGCATCTTTGTTATTACTGTTGGGTCTGGAAAGAGGTGAAAGTAAAAGAGAGTTCAAGTTATGGAAAAATTCTGGAAAGTGAAATACTGGGGAAATTTTTCCTCACACCATCAATGGTGTAGAAAAATATGAAGATCTTCAGCACATACTGTAGTGTCTGCAGATAGGACTGTAGGGTGAGCTGGCCTTTGCACCAAGGAAACTGTTTACACTTCTGTCTGTAAGTTATAGGTACATCTTATCATGATGACTGGAGGAGGAGGTGCTCAGAGCTTTAACTTCATCCCAGTGCTTTTCTAGCTGTATGAGAATCATTACCATCTTCCACTGAGTATACTGTATCTCTGTAGTGTCTTCAAGGATTTCTCTGTGTTGGACTATATGATACTAGGAAAAATGCCTCAATATACCAATTCCACAAAAAAAGACTCCCCTATCAAACTCACTCCCTCTTCCAAAAGTTTAGAATTTAATTAATTAACTTTTAAAAACATACCAATATAAGCATTGCTCACTAAATCATGTTCCTCTGATATTAAAGTGAAGTCCCTGAATACAGTATATTGATACTGGCAATTACTTCTTTAAATAGATATTGTTGTTGGGGTGTCGGTGTGTATGTCCTCCTGGCATGCTAAAATGAAACACTAACAATTTCAGAACTTTTCAGTTCACTGATTCCTTAGTATCTTGTTGGTACTACGAAGGATGAAGGACTCAGAACTATATCTTATCTTGGATGAGTTAGAGATATATCCTTATATTTTTCTAGAAGCAAATGTTTTATCCTATTACTTACTCCTTGCAATGCTCAAAATGTATGAGAAAGAAATACGATATGAAGAAGATATGAAACATGCCACTCCAGTCACTGATCTAGCTGAATCAACTGAAAGTTTTCAAATCACTTTTATCTTGTATCTTGTCTATCCATAGTGTTTCTGGAACAGTTCCTAATTAAGTTAGTCAATTCAAAAAAGCAAACATGATATTACTGCAAGCTCCATTTAAGATGAGAATGAAGATGTCTCATGTGATTCTTATCTGCTTTCTAATTCTTGATCCAAAGTTCAGAATGATATGGATGATACAGCTCTGTCTTGGCTTCTCTTCAGGTTTTAAAACTGATAACGCAGGAATGAACCAGTGAGCCTTGTGCGAGATCAAGAAGTAGTAAGAATTTCAGTTTTAGACTACGAACTAAAAGATGTTAGCTCCTGCAGATACTTTTTCACAATACTGTGGAGTAAACATGAAAATGAAGCATGGAATATTAGGCAGTAGATACTTTTCCATTCTGAGTGGAAATAACATCCTTATTTGTCAATCAGATAATTCTTGTTTCAGGAATTATGATGGATTCTGCATTGAAAACCTACAGCCGCACATTCTCTTCCCAGAAATGGGGTAAACTGAAATATCAAAACACATAACACAACAACAGCAAGAACACAGCACTTCTGCAATTTTATCACCTTTCAAGCTGTTTGAGATCTTTGACCTAATGAAGTATTTCAGTGGAGCACTAAATGACTGCTCAAGTATCGTGTTTCCCTGAAAATAAGACAAGGTCTTACATTAATTTTTGCTCCAAATAATGCATTAGGGCTTATTTTCAGGGGATGTTTTATTTTACAGTTATGTCATATTCTGGCTGCTGCACAATACTACACAATGGTGGGGTGCAGGGTTTCACTTAAGTGGGACTTATTTTGGGGGTGGGTTTTATATTACGAACATCCTGAAAAATCATACTAGGGTTTATTTTCAGGTTAGGTCTTATTTTGGGGGGAACAGGGTAGTACTGACAATTCAGGCAGCATACACCTGCAGAAGATGAGCAAATTACAACTTTTCTGATCCAGATCCAAGAATCATGAATGCCTAAACTCTACTGTCAGTTATTAAAGGCCCACTCTAGATCTTTTTGGATTAATGTTAATGAAAGTCTAGATAAAATCCTATGCTGAGACTGGCAAGAGCCATTTGTTGCCATTTCAAAAAACACTGCCTGATTACTCTTCTTTCTTTCTTATGATATGATTTGAACTTCACTTGACCTTTCCATGATGTTTGGTTCATTTCAATAGCATTACAAGTATTTTTCTCCTGAAGCAGACACTAAATAATAAGCATATAACAAAGAAGGAACACTGTCCAAATGAGATGCTCAAATGACAAAAACAACTTGGTATTCTGCTCATTCATAGTCAAACTATCTGCACAGGTATAAGAAGAAATATCTACACACTATTTAATTTTAATTCTGGCAATAAGAATCTTCTTTTATAAGTATCTCATCAATCTTAAAGAAAAAAAAGAATCTTCTGTTTAAGGTTGAACCACTAACATTAGAGAAAAAGGTATAAAGATTTGGACCCTGAGTAAGACAGCTCTTGAAAAATTAGTTGAAATGTATTCAGAACAAGAACAAGCTAATTCTTGGCACACTATTTAATTTTAATTCTGGCAATAAGAATCTTCTTTTATAAGTATCTCATCAATCTTAAAGAAAAAAAAGAATCTTCTGTTTAAGGTTGAACCACTAACATTAGAGAAAAAGGTATAAAGATTTGGACCCTGAGTAAGACAGCTCTTGAAAAATTAGTTGAAATGTATTCAGAACAAGAACAAGCTAATTCTTGGCCATCATTTTCAATGGTCACCAACTACTGACGTTAATTTGATGACAGATTCCCCTCCCCCATTCATTCAGTTCCATTTTTCTTTTTTTATAAATGTTTTCGGGGTCTATGACCGTATAATAAAACTTAACCTTTATTACAAATGGAGGAAGACACTTAGCTACTACAGGTGATAACAATTAGACAACCATTTTAGTTTGAAAGATGTCTTGCAAACAAAAAGTTACCCCAGCATTTAAATACTAACTACATATCCGTTAATCAGTTAAGGCTTTACAGAAACTAACTACCATTTAAAATTGTAACAAGGAAAATCTAGCTTAAAAAAATCCATCCACATTCTGTTACAATGTCACATGCTACCTCTCCAACTCTGCCCCTTACCTATTATCAGCTAACATATTAAAAAAGCAATGGCACATGCACAAGGATCAGCTTAGGTGCTAACAACCTGAATGCTGACATTGAGAACAACTTTGTCTTACAGATCAACCCTGTGTGACAAAACTAATTTGTTCATTGTAATGTAACGTTGTATTTAAAATAAGTATGCTTCATATTTTGCATTTCAAACTGAAAAACAGACCCTATCAATTTCAAACAGCATATACTACACCGAGAACCTAACACACTTGAACTAAATGACCTTAGATTATATCCCCAAATAGCATGTTCTATTTTTTCTATACACACATATGTGGCAGAAGCATCCTTCACTGAAGAAAATACATGCACAGCTGCTTGAAAGTGCTACATTAATCTGTATGCAAGGAAAATAATGCAACGGAGGCAAGATGCTATGTGCACTAGCTTAAGCAATAAGGTGATGAAGCAGAAAAGGAAAAAAGAGACTTTGATGGAAGCTAAAAAGCACATCAGAGAACCTGTACTTACGCATCATACCTCTGTAGTGAAGTCACTTTGTTTTTGTTTTTGTCAACTGCATTTGTAGATAACTGTAGAAAGTTGGGGTTTAATTTATATAGTTCTTGGAGTAATTTCTGTTCATATTCCTGATGCTTGCCGGCCTGTGGTTAAAAAAACAACCCAGCAACATTAGAATCTAATGCAACCAAGAACTTTAAGAAATGTCCTTCTGTAACACATTGAGTTCTCAATATCACATGATACAAGCTTGAAACCAGAGGGTGCACCATGTACCAAAAAGTTACTTTAAGAAAATCTAGCTCCTGTTCCCCAACAGAATCAGTTGTATCTAGTGATCTCTCATAAGAGAGAATCACATTTTCTCTGTTGATGCCTTAAACTGAAACTGAGGCTTTGCTGTAAACTGAATTAGGCTTTTCTAATTTAAGTGAATGCTTATGTCTGAATAACTCTTGGCAATGATCACATGTTATATGTGAACTCTGAAATACCCATTACAGTTACAATAATGTGCTCATAAGATCTAGTGATGAATTACACTGCACTAGTTATCCTATTATTCTGTCTGTTCCACTTGGTCCCTTTGAAATATGTTTGAGTATGACAATTCAATGACTAGCAGATTTCTAATGCAGACCAGAAAACCTTGTTATAAATATAACTGAATACAGGCATTCATTTTAATATAAAAAAGACTAATCATACAAGTTTTCAGGAATGGCTTCTGAACTTTTCTGCTAACATTTCAACAATACTTTCTGCTAATGGATCTAATGTAATTTTTGTCTTCACTGATACACTTAATCCATTTAACCATATGAATGTTTACTATAAATTGTAATCTGTAAAGACAAGTTTAAACATTTTGGGGATACAAAATATAACTACTGCACTACTTAGTATGGCAATATATAACTAGGAAGCCACAACCTCAAACCTGCAAGAGCTGAGAAGGGCTGTTAATGACAGGATCTTCCGGAGGTCGCTAGTTCATAAGGGTAGCCATATGTTGGAAGCAACTTGACACCACATAGCAACAACAATGTAAACCAGGGTGGGCAAAGTGTGGTCTTCCAGATATTACAGGACTGTATCTCTTATCAGCACTAGTCACCATAATCAAAAGTGGGGAAAGAAGCTGCAGTCCAACACCTGGAAGGCTACATTTATCCCTCATGCCAGTGGTCTAGAATTCAGACTTAAATTAATAATAATAAAAATCTGATTTAGTGATAAGGCCAGATAGGTTACCTGTAACTAACACAAAGTGATCACCTATGCAAGTAGGTTCTACACCTTCCAGTACTAGAGGTGCTAGTGGACAATTCTCCTAGCATAGCTCACACAGAAGATTTATAAAATTCTGACACGAACATTCTTTGAAAATATATCTGTGAAGATTCTCAGTCATCCAGGTGAGGTTATCTGGAAGTTGAGTCATGGCAACTGGACTTCTTCTTTATTAGGTTGAAACGTTTGGCTACTCATCCAAGTAGCTTCTTCAGTCTTTGAAAATATGTTAATGACAGAGTAATCTTTTAAAGTAATTGTGTATCAATACAATTGTTCGACTAAGTAGTAATAACCATTATTATAAAACAATAATGAAGTATCTGCAAGATTTGTTTGCATTCTTGGGGTGTGTCACAGAGGCCATGTTACACATAATAGTAGTAAGAAGATAAGAAGCAACAGCTCTAGATCTCTAAATAGTGTCACAGTTCATTCTCAGACATTCTTGTGTTCTAGAAAAAAGCAGGCAAGCATATATTTAAGGTTAAGTGAATTAGATAGGCAGTACTAGAAAGGTGGAAGCATTTAGTCAGAACACTCTTGTATCCTTAGGACCAGGATACAGAGCTGAAAATAAATTCACTCTATGAACAGAAACAATAGCATGAAAAACTTCACATAAGATGGAAGATGACAAATTGCCATTAGCGTGGCTTCTAAAAGCCTACCTATAACCCATATAAAATGTAAAAGCAGCAGTCTTTTTTTATTCAGTGGTTCTCAACCATGGGTCCTCAGATGTTCTTGGACTAAAACTCCTTCACCACCAACTGTGCTGGCCAGGATTTCCAGAATCTATAGTCCAAGAACTCCTGGGCTACCTAAGGTTAGGAAACACTGTTTTAGTAGAATGAATCAGCATGATCCCTCAAAAAGCTATTTAATTTAGAGTACAAGAAAATAGTATGGTTATCGATAATAAAGAAATAGTTGAAAGTAGGTCTAAATACTCCATGGTCTAACTAAACTGAACATAGAGCAGCATTAAGAAAAACTATCAGCTTTTACTATTTAATAGCATAAGCTGTGTACTTTTGGAAGAATCAGCCAACTCTAAGATTTCTGTCCGATGTCTTCTCCATGCCATAACACCACTGAGCTTTACAACACAACACATGAATTGTCCATGGGCTTGGAGGGGAACATCCGTATGAACAAAAGCAAGTGGTAAATGACTTGTTCACACTAATATATTTGCTCAGCAATGCTGTTTTTCTAAAATCAGATCATAAATCAGCAGGAACTTGCTTATCCCAACCTTCAGAGCATTTGGAAATTCGCCTTCTCTGCCCAAGGCAATAGGTCAGAATGTCTAAAATGAGACTCTTCTGATGCTCTGCACATGGACAGAATCTATCCAAGATAAAGACCATAAGACCTAACATTCAGAATCTTGTTTTCTGTATCAGTCCTTGTGAAACATGGCATTTTAAGGATCCTTGGATGTTTACATGATTTGACTCAGCTGGATTAAACTAAATTAACCAGGATTTAGTTAACTAGGTAAAGGTAAAGGTTCCCCTTGACATTTAGTCCGGTCGTGTCCAACTCTAGGGTGCGGTGCTCATCCCCGTTTCCAAGTCGTAGACAGTTTCTGTGGTTACATGGCCAGCATGAGTAGACACGGAATGCCACTACCTTCCCACTGAGGTGGTACCTATTTATCTACTCACATTTTTACATGCTTTCAAACTGCTAGGTTGGCAGGAGCTGGGAGAAGTGACGGGAGCTCACTCCGTCGCATGAATTCGATGTTACGACTGCTGGTCTTCTGGCCTTGCAGCACAGAGGCTTCTGCGGTTTAACCCGCAGAACCACCACATCCCTTTTGCGCCCCATGTCCCTTTTTTTAAAAACTAGGAGTAACATTTAGTTAACCAGGATTAACTAAACTACAATTTTAAGTGACAAATGTAAATAGAAGTCCAGAATGATTTCAAGTGTAATGTCACCTTTGAATTCGTTCTGTGTTGTGCCTAACATAACTGTGCTATTGCTGTTATAAAAGTATTTAACAGTCAGTAATGTGAGGTAATTTATTGCCTTGTTAGGGATGGGGGAACGTCTGACTCACAGGCCAGATGTATTCCATGGAGCCTGTTGCAAACAGCCCCCAACTTCTCAGCACAATTAAGTTTAGGAAACGGGTAGTATTAATTATTACTTTTCCAGTTCAAAACATTTACAAGTCTTTCAATATTTTCAACACTTTTTTTCAACCTGAAAAAATCTTTCCATGGACAGCAAGTCATATTTATTCACATTTTACAAATAACAAACAGATTAAGGTAGTGGGCCAATTCAGACATCGCCATCCAGGCCAAACAAGCTTATAGGCTGATCCCCTCTCTTTCTGCCATTATTAATGCTTTATCATAATCTACTTGAATTCTAGAGTGGTCCGGTGGGCCAGATAGGCGGGATATTAATTAATTAATTAATTAATTAATTAATTAACTAACTAACTAATTAATTAATTTATCATGGCCAAAAGAAGAAATGTAGTTTAATGTCTTTCACTACTCAGGATCTGAAACATGAGGAAAATAGCAAGATGACTCTTGTAAAAATGTTCCAACACACCTACCTGCATCTCTTCTTTTGTGAAACTGGCTGCTTCATCCCCCAGTTCATGTAGATACATACAGTCTGGTTTTGGACACTGCATGTTCTTCAAAAAGTAACTGCAGTATTTTGTGGTACCTAATGATGCCTGATGAAAGATAAAACATATTAGGAACAAAAACAAACATCATCAGTAACACTCTGAACTGGGCTTGTTAGCCAACAGACAAAAATGAAACAACCAGAAATGAAAAAGATAAAATTATGGCAAAAAACCTTGGAAAATTATTATAAGAAAAGGAAGAACAGTAAGATTCATAAATTCTATAACGTATCGACCAAGTATAAAAGGAAGATTAGCAATACTGCACTTAATAAAATATTATGAAGCTTTTCAAATAGCTCAAGTAGTTAACTTTATAAAGGAGAAAGAAATCCCTGAATGGGTTCAAATAGAAGAGGAAGGGAAAGCAAATCTAATTAAGTTACATTTATACACATCTAGGTTGTCGAGAAATAGACTCTGATATAAGGTAATTAACTGGCTAGAAAAAAATAACAAAAAAAATTAGTTCCAAATGAAACATTATTATTGTCACTATTTACCAGAGGAAATGAAAATTTATCAAATAAAGAATTGGTGGCAACTCTTATATGGGCAGCACAGAATGAAACTACTCAGTGCTGGAAAGATGCTTAGGACACTACTTTACAAAGATATATGAATAAAACATGGACAGTGGCATTGATGGAGAAATTGACTAATTTGGCCAGATTATATAGAGGGGAGATTTTAAAATATAATGATACAGCACCCCCCGCTGAAATCCAACACTGAGTCAAAAAACAGAGGAACCAACTGGACAATGGGTTGGACTGGTTATTGTAAGTGACATCAGCTTGACATAACCATGCAATAATGAGCCACAGAAGAAACTATGTGAAAAGGTAAAAGGGATAACGGAAACTGTGTGTATATATGAAGGTATAAGAGTTTATTAATAAGAAATTTACTATTACTGCAATACAATAGGTATTGTTTTGTTATGCTACTTTAAATGGACTGATAATCAAATTTAATTTTTTTAAAAAATAATATAAATTATGGCATGAGGCCATTACCGTTTAGAACTTACTGAATCCTTACTGCTAGAATCCTATTGTCATCCTATTGCCTTAGAGCAACTGCATGCATAATACAGCCTGTTTCATGGGTCATCTTTCATATGCCATATCCTACTACAGTTGCATGATCAAACATGCGACTACAGTAGGATCCTGTATCCATGGGATCAGTATTCAAGGTTTCACTTATCCACAGTCTGAAAGGACTAAAAATATTTAAAGAAAAAAATCCAGAAAAAATATTTACACATGTATTACCAGAAGCAGTCACTTGAGGGAGCTAGAGACCATGCTATGAATACTTGTTAGTGAAAAATACACAGCACGGTAACTCATGTCCTCTTGTGACCACTTCTGGTAATGTACTATGTGAAAATATTTTTTTTTCTGTTTTTCTTTTATCATGTGATTGATTGATCAATCGATTGCATGATAAAAGTGTGTGTGTACATGTATACCTGTGTATATAGTGTTCACTATTATCCACGGTTTTCCATATTAGTGGGGGCCCTTGGAACCAATACCTAGTGAATATGAGGGTCCTATTGTACTTGCATAACCAGAAACAAGGAACTGACTTGCACAATTGCCCTTGCACAAGCATCTTTTTTCAACAGAATTTCAGCTGATTATTCTTACAGAGCAATACATATTTATATACGTCCATAAAAATATTACCTTAAGTGTTCTTCCATCTACCACTACATTATTGACACACTGTATGGCTCTGAGTGCATCTTCTGACCGGATGTAGGTTACATATGCACTTGCACTTGGACCCTAGATAGATTTTTTTAAAAAAGATTTAAGTTTACAAGTTAGTGCCTGAAGTAGCTGAGAATTTTACAAAGTTCAAGGTTACATTATTTGTTTAATAATAAAGAAGTGGTTTCAAATGCTCTGGGAAAAGCCTTTTGTCTCCATCATTTCTATTTTATTTAAGTGTAATAAACATTCAGGAAGCAATTAAGAGCTAGACTAAACTGATTATAAAGCTGCCCTGCATAATCGGACAACAGATTTTATAAGTAACAGAACTTGGGATATATATCCACAAGGATACTTTTACTCCAAGCCATGTTCTACAGATAATGGACTTTCCAAAAACCAGAACAACTAGAATTATTCTGATTACACTTCTCTGATTTCCTTAATTTGAATACAGTTTGACTGAAACATTCAGTTTTATTTACTGATAGTTATCTGCGGTTGTAGAATTCATTAGCCCCTGTTATTTAAAAGAGAACAACTGAAAAAGTACCTGATTTTTTTTATACCAAAATACCGACACTTGGCTGTCTAGACAGTAAAGACTAGTCAATCCATCTCTTCCCAAGGAAAGTAGAAAATGTCAATATATTTCTTACCTGTGAGCCCGCATATGATGTGCTGTTGTTGATGACAACTTTGTGTATTTTACCAAATTTCCCAAAATACTCTGGCCTTTTTAAAACCTGTAGAGAAGATTAAATTTTACTATTATAAATTCAATACTGAGAGGCAGTTCAAAACTCACATCATAATTTAAAAACCTTATTTAGAAATCACAGATCCTGAAGCTGAGGCTCCAATACTTTGGCCATCTCATGAGAAGACTCCCTGGAAAAGACCCTGATGTTCGGAAAGTGTGAAGGCAAGAGGAGAAGGGGATGACAGAGGACAAGATGGTTGGACAGTGTCTGCGAAGCAACCAACATGAATTTGACCAAACTCCAGGAGGCAGTGGAAGACAGGAGGACCTGGCGTGCTCTGGTCCATGGGGTCACAAAGAGTCGGACATGACTTAATGACTAAACAACAACAACATATTATACTCCAAAAACTATGCAAGATTATGGTCACAAGCAAATCCCAAAGGTAAATATCTGACTACTGAGAGCCTACTGCCCAGTATTTGGGAAAAGCAGCTTTCAACTATGCCTCATCTTGCTATATTTATGTGACATTAGGGTTGAGAAGACTGGCCTTTCAGAGGTTTCCGAACTGAAATTCCCATGAGACTTCAGCACTGATTATACCAGTTAGGACTGGCAAGAGTTATAAGCCAAAAACGTCTGTTAGGCAGTTTTCCCACCTGAGCCTAACAGATGCTTGCTGCTAATTAGGACTCAATTGGTATTGGGTACATATATGTTGTACTGTACATTTAGAGCCCAATAACTTCAGTTCTTCCTCTTCCTGAATTCTGACAATACCATAGACCTTCTTACTAACAGTTCATGGTTCCTAGCACAGAAGTCTTAGAAACCTTTATATATTAAAGCCTAAGATGGTTTGTAAAAGTAAGAGCCATCATCATCAGTGAAACCAGAAATGGTCAATATAAAATGAACTCCAAAACACATTCTAACTAGCCTCACAAAACAGTGTGGCAGAACTATTTTGCACCAAAGTTTTGCAGCTTGAAAACTTTTGTTGTTAAAAAAAAGTTACAGTAATAAATGCTTAGCAATCTTCAGACATGTTACCAAACCAGGAATGTATTCCCTACAAAAAGATTAACGTGGTATATCAGACAGAGCAGCCACATTACGCTTCAGGTCACCATCATCAGCTGAGCATGCATAAGCTGCAGTAAATCAAAGAAAAACCCCAGCTGACAACTTCCATTGCCAAGCTGTACATCTGATCATAAATTAATTGGTTTCCACAACTAAAAATATTTTTGTTTTATTATGATTAAGAACAGCAAAAAATACTTTTGGTAGCATTTTTGGGAATTACAAGGTGTTTTAGCATGAGCTTCCATGGATATACCCAGCTTCTTCAAATGCATGGATTACAATATTTGAGCCATAGTTTCACAAGCATGCTGTTTCTGGTATGGGAAAGGGGCAGATTGAAATGTGATACAGAAAGAAATTTGCATTATCAATACTGCTTACAAAATAATACTACTACTGTCATTTTCTGTACCTTTTATTACATCTGTCAGACCCCCTTAATCAGACCCAGTATGCATATGAATCTGCAGATTAAACAATGCATTCCACATACAGTACCTGGAGAGAAAAGCTATTTCCATGACAGTTCATGTCAAGTAAAACTTACTGATCTTAAAGGCCCCATGGGCCTTTAAATAATTTCCAAGAATTATTTCCACTTTGGAAATTATTACAAATGTTTGCTTCCCCCTCCCAAAAAAAATGGAACATCAGTTTCAAGTCTATTGCCCCTCTAACACCTTGTAAAATGAGATACTCAAGTGTCAAGTACATTGACAATATAGCTGTTTTATGTTCACATTACGCACAGAGACAAGAAGAACTGTGCCAGCCCATTAGCAAATGGTTCACAGGGTAGAGAGGTACTCCCCTGCAATTTCCTTGTGGAACCTTGCCACTAAGAAAGACCAAAATGATCTAAATTTTGAGCACCCAGACCTATGAAGGACAATGATGTTGAACATTACTGTAAAGTCCATTGAATTAAACAAAAACAAAGTTACTTAGTAATCATAATAGCTACAGCAAAGGTTCAGAGAATACATTTGCTGGGTATAAAAATCATAGCTTTGGCAGCTGCTTACCTCTGGATCTGCTAAACGCTGGGATAAGCCTACTACAAAGACCAGATTTTTCTGTACAACCCGTACACTAGCCAGATGTTTGCGATTCTCTGATATTTTCTGTTTTCTTTCATTTTGTTTCTGCTTCTTTTCATTTTTTATCCTCTGCAGCTCTTCTTGGGAGAGTGGCTTGTACACTGCAGGATCTTCTGGATATGGCTAATTTAGAAAAAAAGAGAGTAAATTTCCAAGGACAAGAAGTGAAACTGAGCTTGCCAATGAAGCGAGTGGACTGGACACAGATTTAAGAGTCTACAACAAAGCTCATAAAAATGGACCTCCTTGACACCCCAACCCACTGACTGCCGAGGTAATCAGGAGACCCTGCAGATCAGGGTCTCTCCTTGTCTTAGGTGGAGAGAAAATTTCAAAACACTTTAAGTGGCCACATCACAGATGGGCAAAGAGATACTCAGGCAGAAGCACCTTTCATCAGAGAGCTCCACTTACGCATGGAGATCTCCTTCAAATTCCACATTTTTTCTCTCTCCCCTGCACTCAAGTCACCATACTTCTATATCCAATGGGAGGGGTTGAAGGGACTGCTAAAAAAACAAGGCAAGGAATTCTGCTGTCCCAACCTCTGCCTTTCTAATGCAGAATCCAGCCAATAGCTTCTTACACTAGGAAAAAGTGAACTAGTGTTGGGCATAATGCATTAGCTTCAATTAATCTTTGATCTCATAATCAGATATTTATACACATTTCCTTTGCAGCATTCAGTTGTACTAATCATCAACCCAGTAGAAAAAGCACTTCAATTTTGTTATGAGGTTTAAATATGCAGGCATCATGATTACTATAGTTTGTCTGGAATATAGTATAGAAGGATGTATCAGTGGATACTATGGTTGCACAGAAGCATGGTCAGAATTGCAGTAAGCAAAAAGAATTAGAACTGGAAGATACAACCCTCCAGTGGCCACAGCACAGATCATATTTTTGGTTAGTCTTCTAGTATCTATCCAGATAGTCTCCAGACTGAGTAGTATTAAACACGTGTTAATTATTTTTAAAGCATAAAGTCTGAAGATTGCGATATATGCAGCAATATCAGATGGAAACCAAATTCTGTTGCCAGTCCTTTAGTTCAGAGGTCCCCAAGCCCAATTCCGCGGCCTGGTGCCGGTCTGTGGCCTGAGCCGGGCCACTGAGACAGATCTCCCATCTACTTCCGCACACACTCATCCTTGCACAGTCCATTTGCGGCTGCGCACGCGCTCCAGCATGCCTGTGTGAGCGCTGTGCTCCTGTTTGTGCATGTGCACAAGTGCACGCACGCCCAGACAAGTGCTGTGCTGCCATTTGCACATGTGCATGGGGGGCACTTGTGCGAGAGAGAGAGCTTGATCACATGAGCGCAGGGGGTGCCCCGCATTCCCCAGCTGGTCTGTGGACCGAAAAAGGTTGGGGACCACTGCTTTAGTCACAGCCCAGCTTCCTGGCATTCATAACTGTTTCTCTCAATGAAGCAATCTACACTACCTCTATGGACAAAACATGTAGCTCTTACAGTGACTACTTCATGATTCGAATGAAACGATAAATAATTATGGCCATTTCAAATAAACATAAGCAATCTACACCAAAAGAAATACAAACAGGTACAGTGTGTCAGATTATGACAGTAAGACCTATTAAACATTGTTGTCATCCTTTGCAACATGTCCAAAATTTCTTTGCCACTATCCAATTCAAATGATGACAGAACAGCAAACAAGCTGCAATTAACCATCTTACTGTGGGAAACTAGATGCGTTTCTGCAGGACTTCAAGAATACTGAACAAAGCTTGATGACTGCCCTGAGCTTAAACCTGTGTTCCAAACTGGTTCCATTTCCTCATAATAGCTGACATCAAAAGTAGAAGGATGAGTAGGAACAAGATAAAACACTAGCAGCAAATGGTCACTGTCACATAAAGATCTTAAACTATTACATTTCCATGATATAGGTACATCTAAGCTTCCCAGGATGGGAATGATTATAAAAACAAAACTGCAATTGAAAATTGCACCTAAGCACATTGACCTCTCTAAGATAGAACTTCATTTTGAAGTTACAAGGAAAATACTGTACCCTTATGAATCCTATACCAGCTTCCTATTAATGCAGAAAACAAATATAAAGAATCTATGTAGTAAGCAATATATTTATGTAAGATATACATCATATTTTGAAAAATGAGCATGCAGTATTCTTCTATTTAGTGTCAAATTCAGTACAAAACATAATTACATATTAAAACATGGCAGGTGCCTAGTTGTCTGTATCATATATTGGCTACCTAATCATAAGGTCCAGAGAAACTGGGAATGAAGCCTCATGGAATGCTTCTGCATGTCTGTCTCCTTTAAAGCCTTGAAGAAAGTCAGTAATGTTTTAATGCCTGAAGGGAACATGAATATGCCAAGCCTCACTGCAGACCATCATTGATCAAATGTAGAAAGAGCAATGTGTCACAAGCATAGACTGGAAGACAAAAGCAGCAGCTTGAGCAGAATTACAGAGGCTATCTTAGTACAGTATTTACATTTGAGATGACGAGCACTGCAATGGATAGTGGCAAAAGCAGGCTCATTAAGTGCAGGAAAGACACCTAGAGAAAATGATATACACCCCACATAGTTCTTCCAAAAATATTTGTCAATCTGAACCCATATGCCATAGTATCCAAATGTAGCATAGCACTGCTTTTCACATCCGGCAAGTCAACATTCAGTGCTTCTCTGTAACTACTACTGGTGCATGAAAAGTGACCCACTTTAGTAGGTCAACAAGTTCAAACAGCTGAGTCACAAGAAGCACTCCAAAAGAAATGCTCCAATAAACTATTTTGCAATGAAAAATATGTACCAATTTATGATACTTTCACACATTAAATAAAAGCAACAGTTTAAGAAAACTATCTGTTAAGTAAATGAAGAATCACTGAAATGCATGACCTACTTTAAGCACCAAGTTTTAAAGAGTTATATAGTACTTGCAGCCAAGGGGTGGTGGTGGTTCTACATGAATAACTTGTATGTTGCTCCCATTAGTGTCAAGGCACTACTCTGTTAAGTTTACAATAAATACAACACACACAAAAACACTAAAAAGAATTATCAAATCACTATTAATTCACATAGAGGGACGTGGTGGCACTGCGGGTTAAACCGCAGAAGCCTCTGTGCTGTAAGGGCTGTAGATCTTCAGCTGTAAGATCGAATCCACGTGATGAAGTGAGCACCCGTTGCTTGTCCCAGGTCCCGCCAACCTAGCGGTTTGAAAGCATGCAAATCTGAGTAGATAAATAGGGACCACCTTGGTGGGAAGGTAACAGCGTTCCGTGTCTAAGTCACACTGGCCATGTGACCACGGAAGACTGTCTTTGGACAAACACTGGCTTTATGGCTAGGAAACGGGGATTAGCACCAGCCCTAAGTTGAACACGACTGAACAAAAAAATTTGTCAAGGGGAACCTTTATCTTTACCTTATTAATTCACATGGCACAGACCAATAATAAAAAGACAAAAATAGGTGAAAAATGGGAAGTCAACTAGTGTTGGTGTGGAAAACCTCCCTGAGGAAAAAGAGTTATAAGTTTCATGTTTCTCATTACTTGACAAGATTTAAACTAATCTAATCATGTGGGCATGAGCTCTTCTCATCTGTTCCTGCCACAGAATTCCCTTTCCTCAACAAAGCCCATATTCCACACACCTGCTTAGAGCAGATAAATGTAACCCCAGTTGCATGGAACCTGCTGATAGAAAAACAGTTCTCAAAGGACTAGAATGCTGTGCTTAATAATTTGTTGCATCTGCCTTATTATGTGCTGTCACCTCTGACTCATGGAGACCCTATGGATGACTGCTTTCCAAACTGTCCTGTCCTCAGCCACCCTGCTCAGCTCTAGCAGACTCGTTTGTGGTCTCTTTTAGGCAATCAGTTAATCTCATATTTGGTCTTCCTATTTTCCTGCTGCCTTTCACCTTTCCAGCATTATTGTCTTTTCCAGAGAATCCTATCTTCTCATGAGATCACCAAAGCAGGACAGCTTCAGTTTCAACATTTTTGCCTCCAGAGATAAGTCTACAGAGATAGTCAGATCTTGATCTGATCCAGGATCCACTTGTCTGTCTTTCTGACAATTGAGGGTATCCACAAAGCAACGCACCAGAACCACATTTCAAATGAATTGATTTTTTCCCCTGTCAGCTTTCTTAACTGTCCAGCTATCTGCCTTGACAACCAATAAAAAGGCTATCCCACAACAGTTCCTACCACAATTGATTTATTAAAGCTGTTTTAAGATATTTCTCTTTGATAAGAAAATAAGATCATCAGTGTCAAGGAACAACATGTATTGACACTAGGAACTAAAACTGAAATGACTTTATTACCACAGTTATGCTCAGTTAATCATCAGGTATCAGTAACATGAACTGTTAACTAATTAAAACATGGCAATGAAAAGATAATAGCTGGAATCCTCTTACTGTTCATCACAACTTGTTTGCACAACTTGTTATAGCTAGCTGATGAGGTACTAGGGTACAGGCTGGCTACGCAATTAGCTGCATCACAAGGCATGTCATCATGAGGCATACTGACATCACATAATTTAGCTGCAGCAAGTTATTTATTTATTTGTCTTATTTATAGGCTGTCTTTCTCTCAATAAGGCAGTATTTCCCAGCATGGGGGTCACGACCCCCAAGGGGGTTGGCAAAGTATTTCCTGCATAGTTGTGGGTTGCTTTATATGTGCTGCAGCCCTTGTTAAATAATTTCTTCCTTCACCTTTTCGAGTAGGATATTATAGTTACCGTACATATGTACATATGAGAAACAGGCCCTTTGGAGGAGAAAGAAGCCTCTCATTTCTGAGAAGGGATGGCTTTACCCCACTTAAAATGCCTTTTTACGCAAACATGGTGGTGGGGGGTCATAGGTTACTTGCCTATTACAAAATGGAGTCAAGACTTGAAAAAGATTGGGAACCACTGCGATAAGGGGACTCAAGGTGGCTCACAGTATTAAAAAGACTATAATTAAAACACAATATGCTATACATTAAAAAAACAACTGAACTACAGAAGTGATTTAAAAAACGTTGAATAATTAAAAATATGTATAACATTAAAAATATCTTACTTAAAAATGGCACTTGG